AACAAGTTGCAGAGTGGGAGAAAATATTTGCAAATGATGCATACAGTCCATAAAAGGTAAAAAAAAAAAAAAAAAAAATCAATACATTGGACTTCATTAAAAGAAGCTCGCTCTGTGGAAGACTCTGTGAAGAGAATAAAAACAAGTTGCAGAGTGGGAGAAAATATTTGCAAACGAGATATCCAACAAAGGTTTTCTATCTAGAATATGCAAAGAAATCTCAAAAACAAAAGTAAAAAACCAAATGATCCAATTAGAAAATGGGCAAAAAGGATGAACAAACCAGAGGATGCACACACGGTAAACAAGCATGGGAAGCTGCACGCCATCGGCCACAGGAAATACAAATCCAAACAACAGTATCACTGCACCTTTCAGGATGGCTAAGACAACCGAAAGCCAGAGGGCAGAGAAACCATCACTCACACGCTGCTGCAACATGAACAGTACAGTCTGGAAGTTGGGCAGTTTCTTAAAAAATCTTAAAAAAGAGAAGTACAGAACCCAGCAATTGCAAGGTGGCATTTATCTCAGAGTAATAAAAACGTATGTCCACATAAAAGCTGCACATGAGTGTTCACGGCAGCTTTATGTGCAATAGCCGAAGACTGCAGCTGGCCGCCACCCCAATGCCTCCCTGCCGCTTAAACCAACCGTGGTCTGTCCACACAGTAAAATACAACTGGGCAACACACGGGAGCGGGCTGTTGATGCCTGCAGCAGTTCGAATGGATGTCAGGGGCATTATACGGGGTGAAAAAAGCCAATGTCAAACGGTCACAAACTGAATGATCCCATATACATTCTCAAGATGGTAAAATCATACAGGTCGGGTATGAGTGGGGCATCCTCGGCATGACGGACGGAGTGGTTCTGAGTCCCGACTGTGGTTGTGGGTATATCAGTGTATAAATGGGTAAAACTGCAGAGAATCAGATGCACATAAACACTGGTGAAATCTAAATAAGGAGTGTAGTGTAGTTAACAACACTTTTCTTTTTTTTTTTTTTTTTAAACGACAGTTTTCCAATGCTAATTTCCTGGTTATAAAAACTACTGCACTATGGATGTGTAAAATAAAGGGGAGGGGTTACAAGGGTCTCTCTGTACTATTTCACAACTTCCTGTGAATCTCTAATTATTTCAAAACAATAAAAAAAGGAATAAACCTATCAAAATCACAAAAGGCAAATGTATTTAAAAATCTTCTATTACTCATGGGGCACCTGGGTGGCTCAGTCGTTAAGCGTCTGCCTTCTGCTCAGGTCATGATCCTGGGGTCCTGGGATCGAGCCCCGCAGCAGGCTCCCTGCTCAGCGAGGGGCCTGCTTCTCCCTCTCCCGCTCCCCGCTTGTGTTCCCTCTCTTGCTGTGTCTCTGTCAGGCAAATAAAAAAAATCTTTAAAAAAAATAATAAAAATTTTCTATTACTCATTATCTAGAAGCTGTTAATATTTACTTGCAAAGACTAATGTGATGACAAGCTTGTTCCGGTATGTTAACTGTTTGAGAAGGCTGAAATTCGAATTCCATCCAAATTCATGCACATTCCTGACAGCACGAATCTGATTTATTTTTTATTATTTTTTTAAGTTTCATTTTTAGGGGTGCCTGGGTGGCTCAGTCAGTTGGGTATCTGACCCTGGGTTTCGGCTCAGGTCATGATCTCGTGGCTGCGGATTGAGCCCTGCGTCAGGCTCTGCACTCCGTGCAGAGTCTGCCTCAGATTCTCTCTCCCTCTCTTTCTCTAATAAATAAACAAAACCTTAAAACAAAAAAAGTTCAATTTTTAAGTCATCTCTACGCCCAACATGGGGCTCGAACTCATAATCCTGAGATCAAGAGTGGCACGCTCCACCGAAGGAGCCAGGCAAGCGCCACAGCACAAATCTAATTTTATTTTTTTAATTTTTTAAGATTTTATTTATTTATTAGAGAGAGAACACGAGGTGGGGGAGGGTCAGAGGGAGAAGCAGCAGGAGCCCAACTCGGGACTCCATCCTGTGACTCCAGGGTCATGACCCGAGCAGAAGGCAGTCGCCCAACCAAATGAGCCACCCAGGCGCCCTAATTTTATTTTATTTTTTTAAGATTTTATTTATTTGACAGGGAGAGACACAGCGAGAAAGGGAACACAAGCAGGGGGAGAGAGACAGGGAGAAGCAGACTTCCCGTGAGAGCCCGATGCGGGGCTCGATCCCAGGACCCTGGGATCATGACCTGAGCCGAAGGCAGACGCTTAACGACTGAGCCACCCAGGCGCCCCAGGCGCCCTAATTTTAAAAAACAACTTTGGCATTGGGAAATTTTATTAGGAAAATAGTGTTGGGCAGCAATGTTTCCTAGAACTCACACATGGTGGGGAGGGGACACGCTGAGATGGCATCCAGCAAAGAAGTCAGACACACGCCCACAGTCAGACGTGACACCCATGACATCCAGTGAGAGCTCTCAACTGTACTTGTGGAAAATACTGAATGATGGGCTCCCTGCTCCGTGGGAAGCCTGCTTCTCCCTCTCCCACTCCCCCTGCTTGTGTTCCCTGTCTCCCGGTATCTCTGTCAAATAAATAAATAAAATCTTAAAAAAAAAAGAAAAGAAAGAAAATACTGAATGAAAAAGGAAAGCTTATTTGGGTGACAGAAATAGGAAATGCCGAACCTCACTAGTTGACACTGAGGTGGAAAACAAGTCCCTACAAAATCGCCCTTCCCTTCTCTATCGATAGTGCCCAATGCTGGCAAGGATGTGATAAAACTGGGCATCCACACTGGCAGTGTGTGAACCAAGGAAGACCTTTTGGAAAGTTCTCTGGTAACATGAGCCAGGAGCCTGACCTGTAACCCCATAAACTGAATAGGATCTGAGACCTGAAGGGGGCTGTTCTAGAGAGGCGGTGGAACCCTTCCTTGGGCAGACAAGAAAGACCAGGGTCTGTGCAGCTCTGAATAAAGCCAGGCACTGTCATCGCGCACTGAAATAAAGTTCTCAGACCACAATCTGAGTGGCTGTGCATTAAACTCAGGAGCCTGGCAATCATGGGTCTGGAGGTACTGCAAATGGCCAGCCACCAGCACAAACAGAAATGAAGTCGTGGAGTTACCAGCTGACCCGTACTAACCCAGGACGGGCGAAAGCAGCGGAGTGCCTGTCAACCGGTGTAAACAGGGCCACAGGGAGGCTACTGGAGGAGGCCCTCAGGTGCACCCTCCCCTTGCACACTGCCTCTCCTGGGTGCTGGGCCTGCTTCCTGAAGCTCCCTTGGCTGTTGTAATATCCATGCTTACAGAAAAGTCCTGTGATTTGAAGGAATAAAGATGTGGGGCCATCAACTCCTATTCAAAAAACACCTACCTCTTCATTCGTCATACCTTTTCTCAAGCGGTAAACTCAATAGCATCGACTGTTGTTTCCCCGTGTAGCGGGGTGCCAGTTGCCGGGCCAGCGTCTGGGAGACCCTCCACCAGCATGTCAGAACCCCGCGGGGCTCTGTGCTAGCAGCGCAGACCTGCCCACAAGTTAAACACAAAAAACCCGGAACCATCACGAGGGCTCCCCTCCAGCTGCAGCCACTGTGTGCCTACTGCACTGGCACCTGCCCCTGTCCTCAAGTCGCCCGGTGGCGAGGGCAAAGGTCACAGTGAGGGAAGGACTCGGTGCGCCCGCTGACAACAGGGCCCCGGGATTCCGGGGAACGAGTCCTTGAAGGGCGTCATCCCGAAAGATGGAAAATAACTCCCTTCTAAAAGCCAGGGCATACTCCCAAAACGAATGCCTAAGTCTTCCACGTGAGGCAGAGTTGCGCCCCAAGACGGGAAAGGAAAAGTAACCTGTTACTCAGAATCAAAGCCCAGGGCATCCGTTTGCTCGGAGCGGCCCCGGCCCAAGACCCCCGCGGGCCCCGGCTGCGGGTCGCCGGGCGGGTGTCTGGCGCCCAGAGCGGCGCGCCCTCCGACGACAAAGGGAGCGACAAGGCGACCCCGACCTGCCCCCGCGGGCCCTCCAGACTGCCGGCCAACCTGCGGACTCGGGAGGCGGCCGTCGCGGGCGAGGTGGGCGGTCGCGCCCCCAGGCCCACACCCGGGCGGCGGACAGGGCCGCCCCGGCCCACGACCCCGCACCCCCAGACCCCCGGGCCGCCCCTTGACCCCGGGCGGCGGCGACCGCGGGCGGAGGGCCGGGCCGACCTGCCGCGCGCACTCACCGTTCGCTGCCCCGGGCGCCTGCGGGGCCGTCCCCTCTCCGGGCCGAGCCCGCGGGCCACGCCACCCCGCTGCCGCTCGCCGTCGCTAGCCGGCCCCCGGCGCCGCGGCCGCCGCCCGCCCCATGGCCGCCCCCCGCCCCACGGCCGCCAGGACCACGGCGCCGGCCCGCCGAGCAGCAATGCAGCCAGTGCGCACGCGCGCCCCGCCCCGCGCATGCGCCCCGCCCCACGCATGCGCCGCGCCCCGCGCACGTGGGTCGGCCAGCAAGGACCTGGGGTCCCGGCTGGGGGCTGCGACCCAAGGGTCGGTGGGGCTGGGGGCGGGAGGCTCGCGGTGGGCCATCCGCTGCCCCGACTCCGACGGCGGCCGCCGCGAAGAAGAACCTTGGTCCCCACTCACCCCGCCGCGTTGCAAGCACGTCCGCTCGCGCCCCTTGCCCCTGCCCCCTTGTCGCTCCCGCTCCCCTCCACCGCGGGCTGGGTGGGCTGGCTGCGGACCCCTGCGAGTGGTGACAGCACCCGCTTAGGATTCCATAACTGACGGGGTGTGAATCCACTTAGAAGGCACATGTTTTGGGAACCAAAACCGGTTGCGAGCAGCTGCGACAGCCGGACCCCTCCCTGCCGGTACAGAGGGAGGGGGCGGCCGGGGCGGGGCCACCGCGGGCCTCTCCCACCCCAAGCCCCCTGGCGGGGCCCTGCACCCCACCTGGACTACAGGGGCTGTAGGCCTGGGATGTCAAAGGGGGCCCCTCCAGGGTGACCTGCTAGCCACCGTCGTCCCCCACCCCTCTCACCATCACCACCGGAGGACCCAGAAAGGAGAGAGGAAGGGGACCTAGTTACCCACTTGGTAGCTTCTGGTGGAGCTGCAGGCCTCCCCCAGGCCACCCAGAAGTCAAGTGTCCCAACAGGCTCCTGGGACTCGTCTGTGAATAAGGGGTCACCGTAGAAGAAGCCGAGGGAATGCTCTGTTCGGTTCTCGGTAATCTGCCTGGCTTCCCAAGTGCCCACCGTTATCCCCTGTGTAAGCGCAGGTCTCCCACACCTTGTGTCGTGTGGGGCCCTTTGCAGCAGCGTGGCCGCCAGGTTTCCCCTGCCCCCATACCTGCGGTGGTCAGGCTCCTCTGGTGGGGTCTCCCGGCCCTACGTGCAGAGACTCCAAACTCAGATGGGCACAAAACAGGACATGTCTCACTACTGGCCTGGGACCACTGGGCAGTGGGGTCATCAAGCGTAAGTAGAAAAGGGGGCAAGGATGTCAGGAATTGGGGGGATTTCTCAAGCTCTGTAACTTCCCCATCTGGTTATTTTGGAAACCCAACCACTTCCCTAAAGTGACAGCCAGCCAGCCACACCCACAGAAGCCTTTTGAGCTGTGTATTTTGGATATGATCATTAACAGAATAGTAACACTTGATCCAGCACTTACTATGTTCTAGGCACGGGGCTAGGCCTCCCAAGAACCTTCTAGAGCAGGAAGTTTATAGAGAAGGCACCAAGGAAGGAGAGCCAGCAGCCTAGTAACTAGCCAAGGTCACACGGCAGGGCCCTTCCTGTGTCCCTCTCTAAAGGGAAGTTGTGCAGGAGCCCGTAGTAATGGAAAGCCTCTGTCCACCCCAGACCTCAAGACTTCACACAGGAGGGTGCCTGGGTGGCTCAGTTGGTTAAGCGACTGCCTTCGGCTCAGGTCATGATCCTGGGAGTCCTGGGATCGAGTCCCACATCGGGCTCCCTGCTCAGCGGGGGGTCCACTTCTCCCTCTGACCCTCTTCCCTCTCGTGCTCTCTCTCATTCTCTAATAAATAAATAAATAAAATCTTTAAAAAAAAAAAAAAAGACTTCACACAGGAGTGCTTCCCCATTTCAGAGATGAGAACACAGGGGCTGTGGCTTCCTTCCGCTGACCAGGTTGTGCAATTTCTCCCAGCAGGCCCTGGTCCCACCCAGCCCCCTCAAGGGCTGACCAGCAATAATGGAAGCCAATGCTGGGAGGGGTTCCTTAGGGCATCCGGAAGGTTCCTAGAAGTTTTGTTTGGGCTGAGTCCAAAGGCGGAGCAGGAATAAGCCAGACCTGCTGGGGAGAGGGGAAGGGCCAGCAGCAGGGACAAAGGCCAATGTGGGGGTGGGGATGGGTACCAGGCAGGCTAGCTTAGGCTGGGCTGAGGCTGCGGGCTCTGCCTCAGAGGCTCTCAGGTAACCTTTCCCAGCACTAGTATTGGTTTCTTTGCATTTTTCTGAAACATGACTTGTGACTCCAGTTTTATTGAAGCCTCAGACCCCTAAAACCTAGATGCACCCTCTTCTGAGGATTGAATGATGGGAGATAGCAGAGTGGGTGGGGTAGGTGGTGGGAGAAGGAAGCCTGGGCCATGGAAGGCAGAGCCACATAGGCTGCCTGCTCAGAGCGGGACTCATTCAGGTAGGGTGGGTGGTCCTGGATTTTGAGTGCAGTCTGGGGGGTGGCTCCAGGGTGGAGGGGGTTCTCCTCACAGTCCTGCCCCCAGCTCACAGGGAAGTTCGCCTCAACTGTGCCTGGCAGGGGTGAGAGGAGGGTGAACAGAGGCTGCCCGGTATTCAAAAGGGGAAGTGGCCAGGAGCCTGGGTGACAGGGGTGGCAGGGAGGGACCAAGGCTCCCTGTGGAGGAGGTGCGTGTCTTGGGGTGTGCAGAGGTCATCTTGTCCATCCCCAGCCTCAAGCCTCTAGCCAGCACGCGTGGGACAAGTCCAGCCCCTCCTGCACGGCCATTCCTCCCCAGGGGCCAGTGTCTGGAATTGCCAATGTGGTACTGTCCTGTTTGGAGTGGTTTTGGGGGGGTGGAGCGGAGCAGCCCCTCTTCATGCAGGCCTGTGAAGTGCCATGCACACAGTTCAGCAGGGAACAAGACATTCGAGTGGACTGTAAGCTTCTCAGCAGGGTGGTCAGTGAAGGGGGGCATGCCCTGCCGGCAGCTGGGAGGAGCCCTGTGGGGCAGAAGCAGTGCCAGCCTGGGGCGGGTGGGGTCTGGCACCTGCATACAGGGGGCTCAAGGAATTCTCATGAGGCCTCTAGGAAACGGGTGCTTTTGTTGTCTGCGGTTTCCACTCGGGGAATCCTGGGCACAGACGGGCCAAGTAACCTGCAGCGAGGACACGGTGGGTACAGTCTGGGCTTGGCTCCAGAGAGGGCTTTGACTGGACTCACAGAGCAGGCAGCAGTGGGGGTAGATGGGGTGCTAGTTAGAGGAGAGACCCTGCCTGGACAGCACACCCCTCTGGGCAGCCCCAGGGCTAGTGGGGCCAGGTTGAGGGTCAGGTGCTATGAGGGGCAGCAGGAGACCCCAGTGTCCACTTGGGGCGCAACACTGAGTGGGCATGGTGGGGACAGGACCCTAGAAGTCAGAGGCCCCAGCTGGAGTCCAGTCTCCGAGGGCTCCGTGAGCTTGGACAGCGCACCTGCAACAGGTGTGCCCCCAAGGGCAGAGCCATGACTAGAACCAGGAGGGGCAGTGGTTGCAGGGGAGACTGGAGGAGTGGAAGGGAGCGGGGTGGGCACCCTGGAGACGATGCGTGGCACAGAGCAAGAGCTCACTTCCCAGGACTGCCCAAGCAGCTCAGGCCAAGTGCTAAAGGGTCTGCTCAGTCCGTACAAGATTGTTTTGTGCCTGAAGGTTGAGAACCAGCAGTCTGCCCTGGCAGCGCGGGCTCCTTGCTAGATGCCCCGGCTGATGCCTGTTTGCAGGGACTGCTTTGCTGAGAAAGTGGGACAGTAATCTCAGAGCCAGCAAAGGGCCGCTCTGTGCCCTGGGGTCAGGGAGCAGGGGGCATGCTGGGTGCCAGGCTGGGGCACTGAAGGAGATAGGAACAGGTAGGCATCCGAGGACTACCAGGTTCCATTTTACCCCATGCCAACCTTGTGCCCATCCCAGGGTGTGCCCCTGGGCTGGCTAACCACCTGCTTTCTGAACCCAGAACATCCCTCCCAAGGACCCCGGCTGTCAGCCCCAGGGGCACCTCGGATGCTCTCTGGCATTTTCTTCTAAGACAACAGGCAGTGTCTTTCAGGGAGCCGTGGGGGAGGAGGCTGAAGCCAGGCAAACCCACCATTCAGGCTGCCAGTTTCCGAGGAGACAGCACCCCTGGTACTCGCAGAAACCCACAGGAGGCCCCCGCTGCTCCATCTTGCTGATAATTGGAGAACAGAGCCTCAGGTGGCAGTACTTCCCATGGAGAGCAGTCTTCACTTATTTATGAAAAAGTACCAGCATTTAACCCACGAAAACTACCAAGTTACGGCTGACAACCGTGTAGAGTAAGGAAGGAACGGGCCTGCCCAGGTGGAGGTCCTTCGGGAATATGCCCGTTCTGACTTGTTTCTCACACTTTGGTGGCAGATGCTTATTTTTCTTCCACACTGCAGTTCTTTTTATCCAGACTGAGATAAAAACCACTCAGTCAGCAGGAGTAACGTCCTCAGACATCTTAACAGAGGGAAGAGGAAGCAAGGGGCTCAGGCCTGGAAGACAAGAGACCAGAGGGAGGGCCACTGGGGACAGTCCATGCACCCTGGGCAGTGGCCTGAGAAGTAGGGGTGGGGGCCCGGTCTGGGTGGTGGCAGAACTGCTGGGACCCGGCAGAGGACCTAACCCTCCTTTCATGGACTCTTGGTGATGGGGACCAAAGACCTGGCAGAGAAGCGGGCAGCCACGGCACTGCCCACATGACCAGATCAGGCCGACCTCACCGAGTAGGGCAGCCGGGGGACGATGGCTGTCATCAGGAACCCAAACAGCCTTGCAAATAAGCAGCCACACCAAAGTCCCTCATGTCAAACTGCTTTATTACATCTTAAATAACGGTACAGTTTAATATAGTATCTATCTTGCATCCAGCCTCCTTGCAATACACTGACTTTAAAATTAAATACAAACAGTGAGGGGCACAGGGTGCAGAGAGCTCTACAGAGGTGTCGATGGGAAGGAAGGAGGGCTCGTGTTTCTTCTCTCTGCCAGATCCAGGCCTCCTGCATGTCACAGCACAGTTGTGCACAGGCTGCTGCAGAAAGAGGAGAGAGAAGCCACCGCTGCTGCGGGAAGGGGGCTAGGGTGCAGGGAGGCAGCCCATGGCACTGCCGTCCAACCGCGGCTGCTGGACACCGGCCTCCAGTGGGACCCGGGAGGCCTGCATGTTAGACAACG